TAATTAATACAAGTGGGTTTTCGAGTTCTAGTTAATTCAGATTTTATATTTTCTCACACACTTTGATTCTGGGCCATTCCTGATATATCCAAAGTTCGTGTTGGGCTTTCGGATCTATGGGACTTACCCTCAACAGCGTCGATTCTGTAACCCGTCCGCTTTGAAAAATAATTCTGTATTTTTCTGCTTAATCACTGTATTTTACTGATTAATGTTAATATATAATATTACTATATAATACTAATAAACTATTGAAAACTAGGGCACCCATAAATCGAGGGATATGTTCTGTAGAACCCATTGAACTTCATAAAAACTCCTTTGTGTGTAAGTAGTAATAATAAGAAATATAAGATAATATTAGAATACTAAACACACCATAGTTGATAAGTTTAAATAAAAAATATTATTAAATCAAAAGAACTAATTGTACAAAAATAAGGTTATAATTAGATTTTTTAGTATATATTTGTAAACAATGACTACTAATTGTTAAAAAATATTTTCAACTATAAAATAAAAAATATGTAGGAATAATTTATTTGAATGGTTATTATAGAAATAGTAGTTCAATGAAGGTTGTTGTTAAATAATGAGTACATAATAGCAAATAATTTTCATAGTAAACAAACAATAATTAAGATAGTGAAAGTCTAAACTAGATGTTTATATTTTGACAAAATCGCAAGTTGTATAGTCAACCCACAACCTGTGCATGTTGACCCACGAAACCAGTAAGTTAATCAGGTTATTAAAATGCAATCCACCGTAAAATGAGGAAGCCCGATGGAGTTTGACTCATTTTGACGTCTCTAAATGTAGTCAACTGAGTTCTCTTTTAAAGCGAATTATATACAATCCATGTTCCCTATAAATTTAAGAAAAAATTTAAACACATATCTTACTATGCGGTGAACGGGTACACACACTAGTATTTACAAAACCGAAGTGTATTATATTCAAGTGAACGCAAATAGATGGGTCAAAGGCCGAACTTCATCGAACTCACTTAGAAATTGGCTTTCGTCTGGTAAATTCACCTCAGTCTACGACAAATTGTTTAAATAATACAAAAATATTAATCACTTTTCTTGTATTCACCAATTAAATTTATTCTTCAAGTGAATTTTGCGCAGTCTAGGCGCCCGCACACTCCGACATGATATAGTGATGGATTGGTAAATCACAATATGAACTCAAAGATTTACGAGGGAGATAGTTCAAGACTTCGTGTTCACAAGTATTTATACCACATTGAATGAAACTCTTACACTACCACTCCTAGGGATTAAACTCGAGACATTAACTCAATTACCTCACTTATCAACTGTCAACCAACTCGTGCAGGTTGGTTATATATTCTTCTCATCCCTCTGAAATTGTCTCATTTTTTTCAAAACATCCTACTAAGATTTTCTCATATCAAATTTGATACAACTTGTGTGCCTCTAAATAATGTCACTCTCTGTTGTCCCAATGTTAATGGGACTCTCTATTATCCCAATGTAAATGAGACGGAGATACTACTATTTACAAACTTTATAGTGCTCCCTCCGGTTTCAAAAGATCTCGACACTTTGACTTTACAGTTTTTAAGGAAATAAATTTGACTTTACTGTAGGGTACACTGTTTGGCACTGTTTGACACTGTTTGACACTGTTTGGTGTAGATTTATTTGCCAAATAAAGCAAATAAGGAAGTGTAAAGATCTTTCTAGTACTGCTAAAAATGGAAAATGTAAAGATCTTTTAAAACCGGAGGAAGTATATGAAAAAAGAAAAAGGATCACAACTCATCATCCCTAAGGGCTCCCGGCCCCAAACCCGACCAGACGGTTAGATGTGGTGAGGTCAAGTCAGGAGTGAAGGAAGTGAACTTGTTTGCTTCAAATAGGTAAACAAGACTGATTCTAGCCCATCATCTTGTTCTATTTGGACACACAAGTTAATTAAGGACTCAGTAGAAAAAAACAGAAACCAAACCAAACCTCCTGTTTATGATGTTGGACAGCCTGCCAGTATTAGGTAGTGTACTTATAACTACCTCATTGTTGCGACACCACCAAACGCCAACAGAACGATATTTCATTTCATTTAGAAAGAAATGGTACGTGGACCTCATCTCGCTTTTCTTTTCTTCCGGGGAGATGACACCCCATCCCGTCTCGTACTCCACCGGATATACATTGGAAAGATGTAAATTGGACTATAATCACAATCTGACAGAGTAAGACTCTCGCTTTTCTTTTCTTCTAAAATGCTTTGATTGCTTTTTTGCAAGACCAAACTTAATTTCATTGTCACAGTTTTTTTAATCGCTTTATGTAGCACTTCTATTTTTGACTTAGATTAATCCCGACTAATGCGGCGTTTACAGTGGGGAAAGGTTCTTTAATAACAACTAATCACTCAATACCACAATGCAAAAGGTGGTTTGAAATAAATAAAATTGTTCTGATGTAGTAAAAGTCATGCCAAAACTACTTTTGGTTTTGCAAATTGCATTAAGGTCAAGGAATATCATTTTTACAAATTTTAGGACCTACGTCTTTGGATTGAAATATGCTATTCTGATCGATACTCCTATTTTTTTGTCTCAATGACTCTATGTAGACTACTCTATGTAGACGTTTGGGGTGGCTCCCAATTGTATTTTTTCTGAATTTTTTTGTACATGTGCTTCATCAAGTCTAGTTTATTCACACCAAATTCCAGCTAAAAATTCAATCGGAAAGACAGTCAAATGATTTTTGGAAGATAAGTTCGCCAAAATATACATATAAAACGCAGTTATCTTCAAAACCTCATTTGACTGCCTTCTCGATTGAATTTTTAGCTGAAATTTGATGTGGATAAACTGAACTTAATGAAGAACATACCAAAAAACAACAAAAATATCACCGAGGACCACCTCAAATCGGGGTGGCCATACGAGGCTCCTGTTCGGACCAGCCGGACAAGAATAACCCTGTTATTATTACCTAATAATATTGGCAGTGTATTGTATCTCATATGTTTCTTCACATTTAATAATTCATATGTCCCATAAAATTTGGTCATATTGACTTTTTTAGTCAATAATAGTCAACTTTAAGTAGTAATATTATATGAAATTCTTTCATATGCAAATGATATAAAAACTTTCTTTGTTGGATGTACTTTTATAAAAGTACAAAAGTTACAAGTTTCACACAAACATAACACTTTCAAGTTTTACTTTCAAATTTTACTATCAAACGTACATCTAATAGGCCTCAAAGGAGCAATAATCACAACTACTTTTCAAAAATATGCATTTTATAACCTAAGATGAATCCCAACATGACCACTCTTTGGATGTTTGAAAACAAGGGTATGTGTCCTAGGGTTAAAAGATCAAAGAGAAATCAATGAAAAAAATGGAGTTTTTTCTGGATTAATTAAATAATTACGGAATTAATGTTGGGTTAAAACTATTTATCGATATACTGTTGGACTTAATCTTGGTCGGGGAAAGTCGCTAAATTGGCGACTTACAAGTCGCCAAATGGTTTGGCGACTTTCCTGGACCTGCAACGCCAGAAACTTCAGAAAACACATGAAAATCAAACACATTTTGACAAATCCTGATGATAAACACAGAACAAAAACAAAAGTAATTCAACACATGAAAGAAAAGATCTCGAGTCTCGATTAAAAGAAATAGGAAAGAGGGGCAAAATTATCTCTTGAGACCCGTCAAATTTTGCAGCATTCATGTCCGCATGTCACCCGCGCAGGGGTGGTGCGAATTTTCGTTTTTGAACTGAAAGCAAAAAACCATGTGCGCGAGAGCTCCCCTCTTCTCATTCAGCTTTTAATACTAAATAAAGAGTGATACACATATATAGGCTCAAAAGTTTCCAAAAAGTTTAGATGTGAGTTTGTTAAAAAGGTTACTTTTCTCCTTCACATGAGGTATCCTAATTTGGTTGGGGCTAAGGAAAGATTCATTTTCTCCTTCAAATAACATATAGATAACATCCTAATTTGAAAAAAAAAATGCACTGCTCCATAGTAGAGGAATATGTATAACTACGAAGTATATATTACGAAGTATATATGTTATTTGATACTTCAAAAAATATAAAAAATAGATAAAAAATGAAATTGAGAACCTGACTAAATTGTTAGTTTTTAACTTTATGTGTTTTTTATTAATCATCTTATTTTTATAAATCAATTTTCATTGAAAGTTGGAGGTTTTCAAGTATTTCTAATTTCCATTGGTTGAATGAAATCTCGGAACAAAAAATCCAACTTAGTCTTAGCTTTAGAAAACTAGATTTTAATTTCCCATAGTAATAAGTGGCCAAACGATTTAGCGACTTTCCCCGATCAGGGTTAAATAGTTTTAACCCAGCATTAATTTCGTAATTATTCAATTAATTAACATTAATCCAGAAAAAACTCAAAAAATGCTCAATTTTAGTGAATTAAGAAGATCCAATACTTATCCAAACAAGAAATTAAATTAGTTAAAAAGTCCGTATATATATTTTCAAAAAAAAATAGACCGTATATATGTATATTTTAATATCAGTGTTACATCCATTAGTTTAGTGGAGTGATGCCCTAAACCAACCTTGCTAAGGGTACTTGCAGATTCTAGTAGAAATTCAATATCCCCTATAGGCCATAAAATATTAGGACAAACCCTCATCCCAAATTTGCCCTAAATCACACAGATGTACAAAATTGTACACTTCCAATGTTTCTGTTTATTGGCTTCAACCCCCCCCCCCCCCCCCCCACTCACTCCATATAGGATGATTCCAACATCCAGCTTTCCAGAACACATATTTCTAGGAGCAAAAGAATGGTGCATATAAGGACACTATAACCAGCCAAGAACCAGATTTTGGCAATCTTCTCACAAGTACCACGTATTTTTTATCAGCTCCTAATTGAAAATCAAAAGATCTTTGATTAAACATTTACAGTAACAAAAAACACTCAAGCAATTAGAAACTTCTAGTAAACCTTGGTCTAATGATAATCATAATCATCATTAATTAATAAAGCAAAAATCTAAGAACCATTAATTATACATAGATGGTGTAATTAACAGTCTTACATATGGGTGTTTCTGTCCAACTTCTTGCAACACTAAACCTAGTCAAAATATGTAGACCCGATTATGAAGAAGAAACAGAAAAGAGCTGAGGAATATAATTACGGGTTGGTTTTCTTTTTATGTTCAGGATCTTCTTCCCGGAGCGGATATGGCCAGGTCCGGCCACCCATAATAATCACCACCGAGCCCACCGTCTCCGATACCACCCTCGACGAGCCCGCCACCCATTTGCCATGTATTGCAATTCGAGGAACTCACCGGCACAGAAACCGCAGACCCACTGCCGTTCAAATGTCCGGCACCGACTGGATCCGCCGCCCAATCGGCTATGCCCAACCCGAACCCGAATCCATGTATGCCGGGAGGGTCTCCGATCCCAATCCCGAGCCCGAACCCGTTAAGTGACATCAGACCGTTGCTGGCACCACCACACAGCAAAGACGTGAAGCTCTCCGTCCGGGTCTCCGGCACCGCGTCGTTCAAGTTCACCTCGCAGACCGACCCGGTGCCCATGTAACCCGGTACCCAAGACTTCTCCGACGACGGAAGGACGGAGACGGTGGTCCGGGGGCGCTTGTTGGAGTGAGGCTTCCGGGTGCCGCCGCCGACGGGAACGTTGCGGAGGGTGCCGCCGCGGGTCCAGTAACGGCGGCAGGCCTTGCAGAAGTGGCGGGGCTGGGAGAGGTTGTAGTTGTTGTAGTAGCAGAACTTGGTGTTGGTGGACTCACAGCGTGGGCATGGGAGGCTTTCCGCCTCCGGCGACTTCTGCGGCGGCGGCGTTGAGATCGTGCTCGACGGCTGTGCCTCTCCGTTTTCTGAGGACATTTTGTTTTTCTGCGGCGGCTTTCGATATTCTCTCGAGCTTTGGATCGATGGAAATGGAGGACAGAGAATTCACGGGATACAAGACAAAGAATTGTTTTTGCCCTTAACTTGTGAAGAGTCGGTGAAAGTTATAAAGTGGGTCGTGGATTTTATATTACCGTAAATAAAGGAGGGGTTACCCATCCAGAATTTTCTTAAATTCACTTATTCCCTTGTTTATCCATTCAGTATTATATTTGGACGATTATTATGTGATGATGATGATGTTGGTAAAGTATCTCAATATTCTGGGAAGCATTAGTACGTGTGAAGTATTTATTTGATAAAATTATTTATCAAAGTAATTTTGGAACAAAATTTGAATCTAGTTTGTGACAAAATTATTCTGAAACTAGAGGTAATGAGTGTGTCCATGGCCAACAATTATACCAGTGACTCGGAGCTGGTATTGTTCCATTCAAGTGAATACAATTTTTTTAAAAAACGTGTAGGTAAACAATATACTCGCTCTGATGTTAAAACATTGTACATTTAAAAACTAAATGCTAAATATATTAATGCATTATATTATCATACTCTCTTCGTCCTATAAAATTGGGACATTGTTGACTTTCATGTAAATTAATAAAGTAAAAACTGTACAGGTGATATTTGTGCTGAGGAGATGGAAATAACTTTAGTCACACACCAATACTTTAAATGAAAATAGCAAAGTTTTTTGGGATGGAAAAAAAGGAAAGTTGACAGAGTTTTATGGGATGAAGTTACTAGTATACATGAATTACTAAGTACTATCGTATTACTCGCTCTGTTTCAAAAAATTCTTCCAACTTTGACTTGACATGTTCCTTAAGAAATATAGAATAAAGTGAAAAAAGGTATGATTGTGATTGAGTAAGAAAAGAATAAATGAATGTTAATCATACAAAACTTTTCGAAATGGTAAGTGGAAAGATTTTTTCAAGACATCCAAAACAATAAGTGAGACGATTTTTTTATAACGGAAAGAATGACTAGAGAGATCGTGAAAACCGAAACCCGGGGTCTTTAGCTTTTAGCTTTCAAATAACATGCTCAAAAAATGTATGGAACCGGTGAAAGTGATTTTGAAGAAGAAAAGAGAATTATTATTCATACATAACTTGATGCCAAAACAATACCAATTTGTTTTCACATGTAGTCCAAGTAAAACAATGGTGAATAGAGTTCACATATCATTGTATTATAATGAATCACTTTGTAACTACTTTTCATCCTAAAATCAAGTCCAATTTTCAACTCGCATAAGTAGCTCAACAGACATTGGTGACTAAGTCAGACAGTTGGATTGAGATCTCAAATTTAAATTCTGACAGTACCAACGTGAGATTTCATCCAATATGGTGAATCTTTGTGCATCGGGCCCTCAACCACCTAATTGTTTGAGATCATATTGTGATTTACTCTTCCATCATTCTGTCGAGCAGTAGAGTGATGAGGGCACCTGGGGTGGGTGGTCCCACACTTTTGAGTTGATGAAGTACCCAGTCGGGTATAGTGTAAAAACCTTTACCCGCACAATTCAACTTCCCAGCAACGGCGCCAAATTTGATGAGCACTTTATCGTATTGCGTCAAAATAAATTCGATACTAACACTTATATGTAGTATAGTGAAGTAGAGTTCGTATCCACAGGAAAAGGAATAATTTTCTTTTAAATGAAACTAACAATTAAAGAGAGGTTTTGTGGTTGAATGATTTAATTTAATTAAAAACTAAGATGAACAACTTATACGTGATTTAATTCAAAGGTAAAAAGAATTCGACTTTGTTACTTTGCACTTGTTGATACATTTAGTCGATCCTTGTTATATCTATAACTTTTCCCCTCTTCAATACCCAATCGAGGAGTATCTCAAATTAATCGAGGGTAGTTATTAACAATAACCGTTCATTTATAACTCTTACTATTAATCAAATATAGAACAACGTCGTACATCGATTTAATAGTAGCAATTAATCTTTTTAACTCCTTGATGAAATCAATTGAGATTGATAACCTCAACACAATGGTTTCTGTTTAACCAACAAAATTAATCCCTCTTAAGTCTATTAATCACGGCCGTGCATTAATAAATCGAAGTTGCTTACTTGTGAAACCATCAACGATTAACCATCGGTTCGTTGATCGTTTCTAGTAATAAATTAATGTCGAAATGTTAACTAATCATCGCAACACCCCAACATTAATATAAAAATGAGATTAAGGGAAGAATTAATATTCAAGAAGAGAAGTTAAGAAAATAACTCACAACTTTAATAATCAACAAACTTCAAGAGCAAAACCAAGAAATGGAAGTTTAGCTCCTTATTTGGAGACTAAACATTGCTAGAAAAATATAAAGAAATGTTATTCTAAACTGAGTTTAAGAGTAATTAAGAGTATGGAAGAAGGAATGAATTTTAGTGAAAGAAAATTGTGCTATATATAGGTGTTTTTCAACACCTTTGGCGGTACCCGACCGGGTATAGTGCCTACCCGACCGGGGTACCGGTCAAAATCGGATCGATTTGCCATGTTCTTGTGTTTTCTGCAGGTTCGTTGGTCCGGGTCACATAATACCTGACCGGGTAAAGCACCTTACCCCACCGGGTAAGTGTGTAATTTCCCCGCAGCTTCTGTTTTCTTGTCATACCCGACCGGGTAAGTCACCTTGACAGTTTTCTTCACTTCAAAGTTCTCTTTTTCAACCCTACAAATCCTAACTCAACATTACAACTTACAAATGAAAGCTAAAATACAATTACAACTAAAATCACACAAATGTTACAAACTAATAAGTGCACTATCATGAAGTCAAAATTTTCAGTTTAAATAGCTTAATTGATGATAAAACTTACTCTACAATGATAATTTAAAAATAGTACTACGAATAAATAATTGATATCTACATATATATAAACTAAAACTAAAGTAATATTGAATCTCAAATGGAATACAAAACCTACAAAGGGAACAATGGTTTTGACATAGACTTGTCACGGATTGGCAGAGGCGGATCCAGCATTACAATTCAGGTGGAGCCAAAATTTAATTAAATAATGTATATTGCAAAAAAATGTCAAGATGTAGTAAACTAGTATGTTATTTAACAAGATTATTTTCAAATGTATATTGCCAAAAATGTATATTACAAAAAATGTCTTTAACAATATTATTTAACAAGATTAAATAATGTATATAATTAAATAATGTCTTTAACAATATTATTTAACAACATTATTTAATCAAATAATGTATATTGCAAAAAATGTCTTTAACAAGATTATTTTCAAATATAAAATTAAATCTATTGCAACATAAATGTCAAAGACAAAAATAAATATAACTAGAATAAGAATTTTGTCAAATACAAAAAACACCTCAAGCTCATACATATTGAACTAATTTTCACCTACTAAATCCAATGAATTGAGCAAATTAATTTTTCAGGCTAATATTCAAAAGCCCAAGAACGTTCACAATATTAGTATCTAGCTCATTTAGCATTTGAGAATTGATATGAATTGGTGTTAGGCTTGTAATAGTTGATCTTAGAAGATCAAGTTTAACTATATATGTTTGAAGGAAAAATCCTTCTCCTCTTCAGATGTGGGACAAAGAGATTTTAGTAAAAGAAAACTGAAATTTGTACACTATGTTCTCCCATTGAACAAGTCAAAAAAAAATAGCGCCACTCCTCCACATGACCTTCGAACTCAAGAAGCGTAGACATACTCATCAGTCTACTTTCATCTTGCCAAACTATTATTTGATCATTAATTGATGTTCTTTATTGTTATATCAATTCTTGATGAAATTATATATCATATATATGTATATACTAGTGATTTTTTTAGGTGAGGTGTCATGCTCCGGACCTATCCGGACACGTCAACAACCCGCCCTACAGTACGAATAGTCAACCGCAGTCCAACACATCCATACTATTCAAGGCGTCTGGAATATCATTCACACATAGTACATCCATAAACAAACATAATGTAAAAACATTCATTAAAGCAGTGGAAATAATATTACAAGTGTTCAAGCCACACTTGGCATAACTAGGCATACAAGCCTCCAAATGATTGTTCAGAAAATAATATCCATGAGCATTATTATAATTGTTTTTGAAACAGAAACGGAGGAAGCACGAACCACATCTTCTCTCCTAGATCTTCTCGAATCCACGGGCCCTGTTAGCAAGCTCAGCTCCTACCTGAAACTGTGAGGTGGCCTCCCCCGTGAAGAGGAGGTCAGTACTTGGAAGCATTTGACAAGTACAATGACAACTATACTAAGTATAATCAATGTTTCAATTTCTAAGACCCTCAATCTAGGGTGATATATATATATATATATATATATATATATATATATATATATATATATATATATATATATATATATATATATATATATATATATATATATATATATATATATATATATATATATATATATATATATATATATATATATATATATATATATATATATATATATATAGGCCATAACCCTCGGTTACCCTTTTTAAAATAACATACTTACTTTATATAAAGTCAAGTAGTCGGCCCGTGGGCCCATATTCATTTAGAATTCATCATTTTAATTCCCCATGACTACAAGTCACGACAACCCCATAGGGTTCCCTCGAGTCCCGATTGATAGCAAGGGCTCGACCCAACTACATTTCTATACAACCCTTCAACTCAATTTAACGCATTAAAGTTGTATGGAAAGGGTTCGGCCCAACTATGTTTCCATATTGACCATAACTTTGTGGAAAGGGCTCGGCCCAACTACGTTTCCACGAAGATCACAAATACATGGCAAGGGCTCGGCCTAGCTATGTTTCCATGCTAATCACATTACATGGCAAGGGCTCGGCCCAACTACATTTCCATGCAATCCTAGAGTCCGACTCTAATTTATTTTCATAGTCCAATTCTCAAGCAAATCCTATGCCTAGAATCAATTCACTTGGGTAGCCTTTAGGCCTACCCCTAACACACCTTAGTGTTCATACAATTTGACCTTAAAGTATCTATTAAGACTACTTAAGGCATCTCTATGCACAATCCTATATCTTAGGATTAATT